AGAGACTTTATGACCCTCAGTCTCAAACCTTGGAGTTTGAATTGTTGGGAAATCTCTTCAAATGCAGGCTACATTATGGGATAAAGTCTTTGTGCATGTAGTGGAGATGATTTGACTGATTGGGAGTCTGACTTCGTTTGAATGAAGCTCCCAGATCATGTCACAATGAATATCATCTTGCAGTCGCTCTAGTTTCATATTATAACTTCATTGTGAATTTTTATATAAAATGATACGAGGACAACGATGCCTTAATTGCACAACATGATCAAGACTTACAATCCATTCACTCTTAGGAAATGTTGTACTCATGGCGAGTTCTTCTGCTAAATCTTACCAAGGGTAAGAGTAAGTAGAAGAGAGGCTGAAATTGTTTCTAAACCTACAACCTAGAAGCCTAAGGAAAGGATGAACAAAAAGCTGAAATTGTTCAATGATATATGTATTTTCTGGAAAGAAAATGACATTGGAAGAGAGCTTGTATGTGTTTGAAGGCACAAGGTGTTGCAAACACTGCATAGAATTTGTTTGTTTAAAAATAAAGTTTAAAGTAATACGAAAATCTCCACATTCTTATGGCATTGTAGACTTGGTCAAATCAATGAGACGAAAATAGCAAGGTTACGTAAATTAGATTACTTAACGCCATTCGACTTTGAGTCATATGGGAATTGTGAATCTTGTCATAAAGGAAAATGAAAAATAGTCCTTTTCTTGGAAAGGGACAAAAGCCAAAGAATGTTTGAGTTGGTCTACATTAATGTATGTGGACCTTACGAAACTCAAGTTAGAAGAGGATTTTCGTACTCCACCATCTTTACTAATGATTTTAAAGGTTGAGTTATGTGTGTCTTACAGAACACAAATCGAAGCCTTAGAAAATTCAAGAAGTATAAGATTGGAGTAGAGAAACAACATGACTAAAGTATCTTTTCGATTTGATCGAGGAGATGAATACTTGAGTATGAAGTTTCTTATTACGTGAAATTTCATGGAGTCCAATTGTAATGGATACCTCCTAGGACTCATTTGATGGAGTCTTCGAAAGGAGCAATCAAACCATATTAGATATGGTTAGATCCATGTTAAGTTTCACCACTCTTCCACATATCATTGAGGTTATACCTTATTGAACTCGATTTACATTTTAAATAGAGTTCCATTGAAATCAGTTATAAGGACGTCATATGAATCATGGCGTGGCAAGAGGCCTTGTCTTCAGTATATGTGAACCTGGGGTTTATCTAGCATATGTGAAGAAACTTTTAACTGATAAATTGGAATCTAAAAATGAGAAATGTTATTTTGAAGGCTATCCAAAGGAAACACGAGGATACTATTTCTATCTTCCTGGGGAACATAGAGTAATTGTCTTTAGATAGACGATGTTTCTAGGAGAATATTATTTCTTCAAGGAACAAGGTCGTGTTGTGATAGAACTTGAAAAGTTCAAGAAATTCATAATAACATTGAGGTTCGAGGATTGTCGTTTGGTATTAACAAAGATTTAGAGGGAAGTATTGGTGATTCCCTGAATAGAAATTTGTCATTTGATGAACAACTTCTAGCTAGTGGGAGTAATATGGGTGAAACTGCAGAAGTGCAACACATTCATATATAACCAATACATATTGACTTGGATGTCATTCATTTTCAATAAATGCATGCAAATGTGTTTTTGAGAATCTTCTAATTGTTCAGAAATGTCAACGTACAAGAACCTCGTCATGATCAGAATGTCTAACAACAAATGCAAAATGTAAAACTCCGTAGGTTGACTGGAACTCGTCGTGAACTAATTAGATTGTCTTTCCTCTTGGAGGATCACGACGGCGTGGAGATTCCTAACAAGGATGAACTTAGGACCTACACTGAGTTTATGTAAGACATGGACTCAGGGAGGTGGCTTGATGCCATAAAATCATAAATGGACTCGATGTACACGAATCAAGTTTAGAATTTGGTTGACTTGCCAATTGGGGTTAGACCTATTGGATGCAAATGAGTTTTCAAATGAAAACAGATGCAAATGGCAAAGTACAAACTTATAAGGCCAGATTGGTTGATAAAGGTTATAGTCAACGTGGAAGCATTGACTATGATGAGACCTTTTCACCAATTGCCAAGATTAAGTCCATTTGGATTTTACTTGCAACAACTGCATACTTTGACTATGATATTTGATAGATGGATGTTAAAATCATTTTCCTTGATGGAAAATTGGAGGATGTATATATGATACAACCTAAACGATTTATATCCAAGTCAAATTCAAAATTAATATGTAAGTTACAAAGGTCCAATAGTGGACTTAAGCAAGCCTCTGGGAGCTGAAGTGTTTGTTTCTACAAAGTTACATAATTGTTTGGCTTTGTGAGAAATAAGAATGATCTATGCATTTATAGTAAATGCAATTAGGATAATATTATTTTTATTATATATGTATGTGACATATTGATAATGAAATGATGTTCCTCACCTGCAGTCCATGAAAGATTGATTATCAATTACCTTCATTGTGAAGGACTTGAGTGAAACCTACTATACACTTAAAATTAAGATCTATCGAGATAGACCTAATAGAGTGTTAGAGTTTTCACGGTCGATGTGTGTAGTCAAGGTACTGAAATGTTTCTCCATGGAAAATTCTAACAAAAGGGAATATTTCAATGGTCATGACATCAAGTTGGAAAAGAAAGATTGTCTTTCCATTGATGCCAAACTTGATCGCATGAAGAAGATTTCATATGCTTATGCGATGGAGTCTATCATGCATGTTATGTCATGTACATTTAGTATCACTTGGCGAGATATATTGGAAAACTATAAAGACTATTATTTAGTACATTAGATGAACTAAATAATATATTTTATTCTATGGTGGGAATGATGATTTAATAGTTACATTCATTTCAATGATGTGGGAGTGAGCTGGAAAAGTTCAAGCAATAAACCACTGTGAATTCAACCGCAAAGGCCAAGTACGTTGTTGCATTAAAAGCCTATAGAGGCTGTTTGGATACATGAGTTCTTAAATGAACTAGGGGTAGTTCCAAGTGCCATTTATCTAATATCTACATATTATGATAAAACGGTGCGATTGCACGGGCAAAAGAACCAAGATCCAACAACAAAATAAACATGTACAAATGCGCTATCATTTATTTAGAGATAATTGATAGAGGAGAAATAAGTTAGAACGTGTTCAAACTGAACATAACTTGAATGGTTCGTTTCACCAAATCATTGTGCATAGTTGAGCACAATAGTCATTTTAAGAAAATGTGTATTAGATACATTGGTGATTGACTCTAGTTCAAGTGGGAGATTGTTGGTATATGTGTCCTAGAGACAATCATTTTAAGGACATATATACATGATCACATTGATAATTATATTGGATTATAATTATGGTACTGTAATTAATTAAATAATTGTTTGATTGTTTGCAATTTATTAATTAATTGTTTCCTTGAGTTAATACTGTCATTAACAGAGTGAGATGTTAATTGATAAAGTATAACTCTCAAATCGCCTCAATCGATGATCATTAAGAAAGGGATATTAATGATACGCGATAGATTGACATGTGGTCTGCATCACATTCTTGGAGAATATAGTATGTCTCACTGCTATGAATAATTGTTATTCGTGATGGACACATGGATACTTTGGAGAGTATTAGTATACCCTACCGATAAACCATTTGTTTATGTGTCTACGGGAGTATCGGTGTGTGGAATGGTGTAATAGTCCTTTGACTTGAGGTCAATACGCAATTCATGTATAGAGTAATTTACTTAGACCTAGTCCAAAGCTTACGCCCTTATGGGTAGATACGGGCTTGTGTTGGGTTGGTCACGATATACATGGAATTGGTAGTTGAGCCAAGATAGGATTCATTCCTCGAATATAGTTTCGAGAGAACACTCGTTTTCTCTATACTGGGTTGATAAAGTTATTGGCCAATGCACGTGATTATATTTGAAATGGTGTTCAAATATAATTGATAAAATCAACCAGTGAGATGAGATAAAATGATTAAGCTGTTTGGATAGACACACGTTCAAATCCTAAGCTTAATCGAGTGGTTCGTGAATGAAGGGACCGTATCACTATTGAGTTCTACACGAAAGGTTTGTTTGCTTGTCCATGTAAACGTACTTCATATTTTGAGTTCGTCCTTCGACGCAGTCTAGGAGTTTCGTAAGGATCATAAATTATATTTATGTCAATATATGAAGGCCTATAGGGTCACACAATATGCAATCAGTTTTCCGGCTAAGAGTGAATCGAGAGTGTTAAATGTTCAATTGGATTGAAATATATATTTTTGAGTAATGAGATTATTTTCTATTTGATGGAAAATATTTAATTAAGTTAAATTGAATTTACACTTAATTAAGTTATTAATTAAAAAATAATTAATTAAGTTAAATTGGATTTATACTTAATTAAATTATAAATTGGATTAGGTCCAATTACCTATTGGGCTATAGGGTTTCCTAAGGTCCATATTATTAGGTTTGACCTAATTATAAATATCTCATTATCTCATTCATAATCTGAATTGATTAGAACGATCATTAGATGAGAGATGAAAGATACATCGTAAAATAAAACACTCTCTAGCTTTTTGGATCGAGGATTCCTAGCTTCTTCACCAGAAGGGATTCATTGGCGTTAGATCGTGCACCGGAAAACTGGATTGCGTGGATACCATAGTCGAGGACAAAAGACGAATAACTGTAAGTTTTCGTGTATCATTCACGCGATCTAGGATCGTATCGAATAGCTATAGCCGGATCTTCGTTGTTGGTAAGAAAATTTTAAAATTCCGCTGCGCGTACGATTGATTCGTACGTCTAAAATCCAACATGCCGTACTTTACCTCTCTTCGTGCTGATATTTTTGTTTTCTTTCAAGGTTGTGTCTCAATTCTCATTAAACTTAACATGTTTAGTAGTGCTGCTTGTTTGATCAATAATATGTTTTTGCAGGGTAGGGGGACAGTTAAGATGTCCCCACAAGTTTCAGAAGCTTTATCTCTTGGGAAAGCAGTGGTTGCTCTTGAATCCACCATTATTTCTCATGGTAAGATGTGCAAGCAGGGATATGGATTAAGGATACATCTCTTGATTTGCTTCAAGAATGTTGAAAAGAGGATAATTCGAATGAATTCAGGGGAAGTCCATTCGAAAAACAGAATGACTACAAATTATTATATTGTTTTACCTGAATGCTGTGTGAAGTTCTACCTACAGATGACAAGATATTAGTTCTTTGTAATCAGGCTTTTAGCTTAATACTGTGGTTCCTAATTCTTATAGGGAACTGTCTTACTTGACATTAAAATTCATGTTCCATGTAATCAAACAATTGCTTCTCCAATTTTATTTACCTTGTTTTTAGGAATGCCATATCCTCAGAATTTGCAGACAGCCAAAGAAGTGGAGGCAATAGTAAGAGAGAATGGAGCCATACCTGCTACTGTTGCTATTTTGGATGGCATACCATGCATAGGTGTTTATTCAAACCTATATATATTAAATTTTTCTTTTGAGTTTTCTTGGTTGTCATGGTTGTGTTTCTTGTAAATGTTCGGAAATACAAGTGCCTTACGAGAGGATTTGCGTCGCCATTGCAAATTGCAATGAAATCACTGAATTAGAAGCTAAGCGTGTGCCAAATTCTTTAAATTCAGTTCCAAGATCCCAATGGTAATTAAAATCAATTATCATCTTAACCCCGGTGCCGTTTAACTACTTTTATTCTGTTTTAGTGCATTGTGTTGATCTTCTGTAGTTAGAATCTGATTGTATATTCATTCTAGGATAAAAGTGGAAACTGAAACGTCCTTGGCATTCCAATGATTTTTTTGGCAGTTTATTGTTTCAAATAAACTATTTCTTTTTGCAATTGTTCATTTTCTAAGACTATTCATTCTTAAGGATAGCGGTTAGTGATTCTAGCATGGTTTCATGAATATTGAAATAGGGCATTGCCTTGATGTTTCTGTTTTTCTGTGTTGGAATATCACTTGTAAGTTGTCCAACATTGCTTCTATTGGGAAAATGGGCCTAGCTTATAGGCTACTCCTCCCATGGTTTTAGGATGGGAGACCTCACATAGGTGCATCCCTTCCCGGCTTCCCCTGTATCTATAAATCTTACCATTCTACATCTTTTTGTTATTGCGGTTCACTTGCTTCCTTAGTGAATGAGAGAAAAACATAAAATGGTAAAGAATGTCCAATGTGAAGCTAACTTGATGTGTTTACTAACATTTGAAGGTTTGTCTGTGGAAGAACTTGAGAGGCTGGCTATCCTAGGAAGAAAAGCTCGAAAGACAGCTCGCAGGGACATTGCACATGTTGTGAGTATCTAATGATTGCAGTTCATTTTCTATCTTAACTGCTAAATACTTGACTGCACCATAACAGACCTTATTTATCTTCTCCTATTCAGATCAAATTATCATTCTCTAGGAATTTATTTGTATCTGATTTTATGCTGAAAATATACATATGCCTCAGGGAAATATTTGTTATGGAAATTTTTTCATGGATATGAGTTTCTATAACATCTAATCCGGGTAAAATCAACTATCTGGCATTCGCATAGCTCTTCTGTGCATAATTTTGTTATCAGTAGCATGCATTGAACGTTTATTCGTCTTGTGACTCGCATCGTCTTTTCTAGACACGAATTGAAAACTTCAAACCTGATTTAATTAATCCTCTCAGGTGGCTACTCAAGGAAATGGTGCTACAACTGTTTCTGCCACTATGTTTTTTGCATCCATGGTAAACTTAGCATGTTTATTTCGTTATATGTTTTTACTTCTTCCTATGCACCTCCAAATAACCAAATTGTACTTGCTTACTTTTTGTTTAATCTTTTGCAGGTCGGGATTCCAATATTTGTCACTGGTGGTATTGGTGGAGTGCATAGGCATGGCGAGAGTTGTATGTTTCCTGCTTGCTGCTTTGATTAGTGATTTGAATATATTTAGTTCTTGGATTGAATCCTTGAAGATATCGAATTAGCATGCACAATTTTGATGAATCTATTTTACGTTAGAGTTGGTTTCTACGTGGGTCAAGATTCTAAATGAGGGAAAATTCTTAATTCGTTGATATCGTAATTAGTATTAATCCAATAATACTGACACTTATGTGCAATGCTTTCAATTGGTATATTATCTGAATTTCAATATAGTGGCCACTGTCCTGTCAATGGCTAGAGGAGTTGCTTGTTAGATAATTATGATGTATTATGTCACAAAGTGGACCGTTCTTGGAGTATAATTCAAGCATTTGATTTGCTACGTCTGATTCTTGATTATCTAATGTACAAAGATAAATTTTGAAACATTCTGTGATCATTTTTTTTCCTTTTAATCCTTCTTTTTACAGCTATGGATATTTCTTCTGATCTCACTGAGTTGGGAAGAACACCTGTTGCTGTAGTGTCTGCAGGTGTGAAATCAATTTTAGATATTCCAAGAACCCTCGAGTATTTGGTAACCACCATTTTCACCCCCAATGTAGTTGTTAAAACTGGAAGGCGCGCTTTATGATTAGAAATATAAATTCTTTATGAAATAGGAAACACAAGGAGTTTGTGTTGCGGCATATCAGACCAATGAGTTCCCTGCCTTCTTCACTGAAAAGAGTGGTTGTAAGGTAATTTTGTCATGTCTTGTTTTGTAATGTGGGTAGTTACAAAAAGACCCCTCAGGTGTGTAGGACATTTGTGATTTGTGTGACCTTGGTTTGACAGTAGTTGAAATCATCCCCTTTCTCTATACCGGTAGGTTGCTAAACACCTCAAGAAGTTTCATAACTAAAATGAAACGTAAAAACTTCTGGAAATTCCATCTATCGTACATTTTATAATTGCCTATTGAACCAAACAAATTCTCAGAGCCTTCTAACGCCAAAAGAAGTCTTCATAATGTTCTATGACTCGTCTGACTTGCCAAATTGAACAAAAGAGGGCCGATGATGCAAATAAAAGTTACGATATTAAATATTCATTTACTGATATTCTGTATAAGGAGGACCAGTTTTCATTGCCCAACGTATATTATATATATCCATGATTTTTAAAGTTGATAATTTATTTGTATTTGTTTTTTTTTTTTACTTTTAAAACAGGCACCGGCCCGTCTTGACTCCCCTGAAGACTTTGCTCGACTAATAGGTGCAGTTTGTAATGTCCTTTTGTTGCTATAGTGCTCTCATTTTCCTTTTTTATTANAAAAAAAAAAAAAAAAGGTTCAAATGCTAAAAATTACTAACCCATAAAGGTTTGCAAGTTTCTTAAATATCCACAATGCTGTAATTTGTAAAACAAACAAATGTCAATGGATATTCGTAATTTTGAAATATACCCGAGTCCTTTTTTTGTGAATCGATTACACGTCGGTTGCATTTTTCTTAATTATATTCTTACGATTTGATAATGGATTGGATGTGAGAAACAGGGAGCAGAATATAACTGGCAGTGCAGAAACTCCATTCTTACTTGCTAGAGTGAATGAGCTAACTGGAGGAGCCTCCCTTTTGTCGAGTATCCTTTATCAACTGGGCTTAATAAATAAAGGCCAACACTTTGATTATATCTGGTCAATTCTTGTGTGCGTAAATTCAAATTTCTTTTAAATTTAACAGTCACCTAATGGGATTCCTTAATTAAGGATTAGACATTGCTCTTGTGAAAAACAATGCTCGCCTAGGTGCTCAGATTGCAGTCTGCCTTTCTCGGCTCCAAAAACAAAGATGTAATGGTGAGTTTTTATCACCTTGCAAAGATTCTTATTATTAAAAGGTCAGGGTTTGTCTCAGTATTACTCAAATGGCAAGATGAATATTTTGGGACTTTTACATGCACCGACATCTATTACTATAGTAAGAGAGAGGGGGATTTACTTGAAATAGTATTGAAATTCCCGCTTCAAAAATTCAATGTTATTGTTCTTAGTAATTTTTTTTTGAAAAATGTCGTTTGAATGAAAATTCGAATTCAAATTTCAAAAAAAAAAAAAAAATTGTTATTTGAGAAAGATATTGTGTAAACCTTAATTCCTAAAAATATGGGCAATGACTTTCTTAAATGCTACTGGTATGGGTAAATCTGACCAATGATGAAAAAGAAACTTGATAATCTTGCTTTCAAAAAATCCGGTCAATCATTTCCTTAAGTTTTTTCGGTCAAACATATAAATTTGGTTACAAATATCCGGTTAATCATTTAACGAATAAAACGTTTGAATTTTTTTGAAATCTTTTTGAAAAGTCATGCCAACTTAATTGTGAAATATTTTTTTATCCTTATTTATCTATCTACAAATCTCATAATTCATAATTTATGGTCACAACTAAAAATTTGTATTTATTTAATAAATAATGTTAATTTCATAAATTAATTTTTATATTTTGGATTGTTCGACTTAATTGATGATTTTTTTGTCCATATTTATCTAACTACAAAATCTCTTAAAGTTTATAAAAAATCTCATATTATGTGGATTGTTGAAAGCTATTTTTTTGTACATATCCAATGAACAATTAGTTAGGATAACTATTAGAAAAAGAAACAAACCATATTCCATCTGTTTGACAATGTGTCATTTTAGTTTAAAAAAGCAAAATTACAAATTTAACGGTAATTGTTATTTTATCCTTATATAAGATTTTTTTAATTATCTTATATTTGATTTAAATATTTTTTTATATACAGTCTCTATCTCTCCTTGCGTGGACGTTATCAGTATTGTTATGTCACTTTTCTTTTCTTTTTTTTTTTTGCATGAGTTGTTATTTTATTTTTTTCAATGGGAACCAAATACGACCCCATTTATTAGTTTATAAATATTATTTATCAATCCATAAGAGTATCACCTTATTCGTACACTTTTATACATATTAACTCATTTTCATATTTATCTAACTAATTTATGGTATATAATAATTTCATATTATATCGTCGGTCCAAATAAAATTAAACCAATAAATGATGTTGAATCCTACATAGAAATAATACGACTTTACACTTTTCAAAATATGTTCGCTATTTTTCATCTCATATCCAAATTACAAATATTAATGCGAATCTTAAATATCTCACATTTATTATAATATATATATATATATATATATATATTTTAAAAAGCATGACGATTCATATAATTAATATTATCATATACCAGGGACACTCATTCTATTCAAATAAATAATATATAATTTTCCATATTTTGTACTTCTTTTCTTGCAATAACGGGATGTTAAATATAAATAATTATGTTTAAAATAAAGTTTTAGAAAATGTTTTAAGTAACAAGTTCGTCCGTGCATCGCACAGGATGTGCACTAGTGCATAAATAAATCAAAAACAAAACATCAAGATATTACAAGTCTGTTTCTATTATGAGCCAGTTAGTACAAAATCTCTATTTCAGGAGTATAATTGTTATGTGGAACTTACTTGGTTTCTTATGTTATTTTTATTATTTTAATTATATTCAAACTGCTATGCCCTACAAGAAGAACTAATACAAAAGCACCAATGAGTTTACATTTTTGGTTCTTTTCAGGTACCTAATTGAGCTGATGGGAAAGTGCAAAGCACCCTTGATTGGAGAAGCCAACAACTTCTTGAAACACTTAAATCACACTTGCAAATTTCGAGTGGTCTCTCTCTCTCTCTCTCTCTCTCTGTGTGTTTCTTGATGAACCGGAAATGATACTTTTCTGTTTCGAGTTAGAAAACACTGAGTATTTTCCAGATAGGTCTGATAAAGATTGTTAAATATAAATTCATTATTTTCTTCTTTATCCTTTAACACCGACAATAATGCTTCTAAGTTTTGATAATACAACGAAAAAAACTCTTCAATAGTAATATCCAGTCGTTTCATAACTCTGTGTTCTCAAGTAGTATCTCCCCGAAGGATATTTTCTAATTTGTGAAACATGCTTTCTTGGATTTTACTGGTTACCTAAAGTCATCAAGCATGGAATCTCCTCAGAGCATGTGAATGACCAAATTGCCCCTTTGTCACAGCAGTAACATGATAACATTGAAAGATCATAATTTGCTCATCCTGGGCACTGTAAATGGCCATATTAATTACTCTTAAAGGGGGCTAAGAATGTCCAATTATTGTCCTTGGCAAAACAATTGTATTCAATAGATCTAATTATTGATGTACTTCACTCATACTTTTCTTAATTTTTACTCTTCTTAGTTGTTAAAAGAAGTGGTCATGAATGAGATGACAATTACCAAATCTTGTAATTGACAAATGTGATACTGTGGTGTTTTACTTTCTGTCCTGTTCCTTGAACTTCTACTGTTTTTTCTTCAAATGTGAAGATAAATACCAATTTGGAGGACTTTGGTGTCCACACTAGAAAACAAAAGCAGTTGTTGGAGTCAAGTGTTAGAATTTCTCGCAAAAACTTGAGAAACACAAAGGACAAAATTGATGGGGCACATTTGTTTGGCTTTGTTAGGGCATGTTTGGAGGGTAGTGAAGGGTTGAAGAATATTAAAGACTTTTCAGGCAGCCCCTTGTTGATTCTCTATCCACCTTATGTCAAGACAAACCATACAAAAGAAAAGTTGTTCTAATTTTAAGAATGCACGATGGAGAAAGAGGTCGGCCATAGAAACTCATTGATTAAAATATTATTTTGTCACCACAGCCTGGCGTCTCCTGTCATGTCACTCTAAGGTGAGAGTGAAATTTTTTTATAATTCTGCCAAAGAAATTAGTAAGCAAGAGTTATTATATGACAAATGTTTATGTGGTGCATCATGCAAGTTCCGAATTCACTAGTTAGGCTTTTAGCTTTTATTTTTTCCCTTTGTTTTTTTGAACTTTTTGTTTTTAGGTATGTCAAATTGTTTTGTTGACACGTAAGAGCAAGGTGAAATATTGGCCATATATGTAAGATCTTCTGAAATGATTGCCCACGAAAAAAAAAAAAAATTTTTTTTTTTTTTTTTTTCCAGAGAGTCGTACCGAGATTTTATCAAATGATTGCCTATATGAAATAGCTAAAGACAAGTACAGAGCACCTTTTTGGAAAATTTGGATCTCAATTTTGGTATGGGAGCATAGTGAAAAATCAATACAGCTCATATGACTGATTGAAAAAGAAAAAAGAAAAAAAAAACACTATACGCCGATCTCAATTTCACACATGAGTGTGTGAAATTAATGGTGAAAACACACAATAGTGCCCTATATGTAGGATCAAAATTTCCATGTCTTGCATGAGATGGCCATACGTACGCACACATATGTGTATTTTGACAAGGCTCGACTAATGTCTTTTCTAAAGCAAGTTGAAACCATCAAGAGTAATAAGATAACCTTCAACAATGCAGATATTTATTTCAAAATGTATGGTTTTATATTTAAAATTTTATGAAGCTCAAGTGCTTTTGGGCTCAATTTCAAAATATAGTAGTAATCTGACAAAAACTATGTTCACCAATTAGTTTAAAAATAAATGAATTTCCAACTCCCAAGCAATTCTTCCTAGAGAAACCCCATCACTGTCAATTTATGGCTCCTACTTAAGGAGAAAAAGACAATAGAAAAAGACAATAGAAGTGGTAGACAGAGAATGAGTACAAATTTCAAAATAGTTCCTCTTAACTTTAGTAGATACAAAAGCACAAAATATAGAAAAAAAGACAAAAGCGATACAGTATCAATATCATACATAGAATGGAGGTCACTTTTTGTTCTCACAAATTCCATATATTCTTCAACATGCAAAAAAGGACACCAAAAATTCCAGTCACGACAAACAACTCCTCCTCACGCTTACTCCACAACGTGGCCACGTAAAAGTTGCCCCCTCACATTTCATTAAAGTCCTATAAATAATAAATAAATAACAAACTCCCCCCCTCTCTCTCTTTATCTCTGGTTTTTCAATTCTGGACTTGTTTGTGGTAGCTGTTTGTGGAAAAAGCTTGGGTCTTTTTCTGTGGGCTTTCGATGAATTTCAAAACCCCGAAAGGAATTCATAAATCCTGATCAGATTGGTGAGTTCTTGAAATATTTATCTAATTTCGATACTTTGATATATCCCTCTAATTTTATTGCTTCCTCAATCTTCGCGCTATTTAATTAGCTAGCAGTTCTTCGT